ACATCCACCATATCACAAGGGGCAACGGAACACATGGGCGAACACATGGGCGACACGAGCACACGCACACGCATGGATACAAATACATCCACTACATCACAAGGGGTAACGGAACACTTGAGCGAACACATGGGCGAACACATGGGCGACACGAGTACACGCACACGCATGGACACAAATACATCCACTACATCACAAGGGGCAACGAAACACATGGGCGACACGAGTACACGCACATGCATGTTCACAAATACATCCACCACATCACAAGCACCAATGGGTAAACCTATACCTATGGCTCCAAGTAGTGTACCTAAATCTATTGGAATGGACTTCGATGTTAGCCATAGGACTATCCTACCGGACTGTACAGCAGATGACGAATTGAGCTTAGCAGCATGTCCTTTCTGCCTAATGGGTAGTAAGAACGGTGTTGTTAAACTTAAATCGCACACATGTAGCATGTGCAATAAGTAATGTCACCCATTTTGCCATCGAACTGAAGGAGAGGAGGGGAGTGGAAGCAGCGGTGCGTGTTACTATTGTCAACATGGGCCCATGGATATAATCACTCACGTAAACAGATTGGAATTCGCAAACTTACAACACACTAATGAGGAACTAGAACATCAAGAAACTATAAGGGATCTAAACAACGTAGTGGTTATCAGTGAGCATCGAGGTGCTATGCGTTTGGATATGGATATAGAAGAACCTAGCGTAGGAGGTCGGAATGGAGGTCAGAATGGAGGGGTTCCGCAGTATTTCCCTGGAGATGAAAAAGAGGATGGTCATGTCAGGCAAGATAATGTGCAGGGGGCAGCAGATGAAGAATGGTTAGCACTATACAACAAGAATCCTAAGCTAATCGAGCGTCGGATACATGTAACTGTCAAGTTCAATTTCGGCAACAATACAAAATCTTTTAAGGATAGAGATTTTAGAGGATACAAAGATGATGAGTTCCGTGGACATCCTCGATATCCCAAAGTTCGAACAGGCTATACTTGATATGTCGAATAGGGCGATACTGGATTGGAGAAGCAAGCCACAAACTGGTAAAAACGATACGGGAACAAACGCGACTAAGAAGATTTGGGGCAGTCAGACATTCACAGAGCCATTTAAATCAAGGTAGGACATGTTGAAATGCAGTTGCATGCACATCAAGGAGTCTCGCACACAGTCTCTCGGAGCTATGAACCCAATATGGTTACCCGATTCCGCGTCAAATCATGATTCGGAGGTTCGAAAGCGTTTGTTAGATTCATTTGACAAGGCGACTAAAAACTATTATAAGGGTGCTAGTGCGGCTAAATCTCGAGAAGTTATATTACAAGTATGGGTTCTGTTTAATAAGCTGGAAGGTATCGAGCGCGTCAAAGGGGGTACTCGGCAGGATAGTTCGTTGATGCAGCGTGTCAACATCCAGCTATATGAGGTGGGCATGGGTCTAGATAGGGCTGTAGAACATACAACACGGTCTATAATGTCGTCTCGTCGCGAGACAGTTAGAGTCAGGGCAGCCGCCAATGCTTCCGGTCCCATCAAACTTGATTTTATATCAGAAACATATGAACTATTGGTGAAAAGCAAGGCAGTAGATTAGATGATTAAGAGAGTACGCGACGAAAAGGATGCAAGAGATCTTCTGTACGAACACCGACAAACAAGCTTTGAAGATTATTGTCACCCAATGAAGCTAAAAAGGAAGGTACGACTCGAAGACGGTACTGACGGGTCAGATATTTTCGAGGTCCTCGCTTGTCCTAGCCAAATGTTTGAGGCCGTAGGAATGCCCTTCATGATGTACAAGGGACTAATACCCCGTAGGCCTAATATTGTAGTAGAGGTGGCTGGTGCAGCAGGGGTGGCAGCGTTGGGCGCAACTATTTTAAACACAGATTTAAACGCTCTTGAACAGGACAAAATCCAAGAAAACTTGAATCAATTGGCCTGGGAAACACGAACACGGCCCTTCCCTTAGTTATTAGAGGCCATGCGAGGTGTAATAGGAGGGCAAATGCGTCCACCACTACCGAATGAAACGATGGTGCCTCCGTGACAGACAGCTGCCGAAGCAGCACCGCCTGCGGCAGGTACTGTTGTCAATGATGATGACCATAACGCGGCTAATAATTATGCAGAAGAGACGTAAAAATACTTATATATATTTATATGTATATATAATATAATATTAATATGATATCATATACTTATATGTATATATATTCATGTATATTTATTTATATGTGTATTTATATAATGTATATTTATATTATATATATATATATATATATATATATATATATAATTACTTATATATATATACATGTAT